CTGGGAGCCTTTTGACTCTTTACAAGTGATACCAACCAGCTGCGAAGGGTCACAATGCTAAAACCGGTTACAAGTGGCCTGATGCAGATCAAACCAGTTCGAGCTGGCTCAAGCTGATTTAGACCGGTTAAAGCCGGTTTCAGCCGGTTCAGACCGGTTGAAACCGGTTTCAGCCGCTCAAACCGGTTTCAGCCGGTTCAGGCCGGTTTCAGCCGGTTCAAACCGGTTCAGACCGGTTCAAACCGGTTTCAGCCGGTTCAGACCGGTTTCAGCCGGCTCAAGCCGGTTTCAGCCGGTTCAGACCGGTTTCAGCCGCTTCAAACCGGTTCAAACCGGTTTCAGCCGGCTCAGACCGGTTCAAGCCGGTTTCAGCCGGTTCAAACCGGTTTCAGCCGCTTCAAACCGGTTTCAGCTGCTTCAAAACTGCTAACGCCAGTTTGGACTTATCCCAAATAGAAATCTAAACACGTCACACATGCCTGGGAGCCTTTTGACTCTTTACAAGTGATACCAACCAGCTGCGAAGGGTCACAATGCTAAAACCGGTTACAAGTGGCCTGATGCAGATCAAACCGGTTCGAGCTGGCTCAAGCTGATTTAGACCGGTTAAAGCCGGTTTCAGCCGGTTCAGACCAGTTCAAACCGGTTTCAGCCGGCTCAGACCGGTTTCAGCCGGTTCAAACCTGTTTGAGCCGGATCAAACCGCTTTCAGCCGGTTCAGACCTGTTCAGACCGGTTCAAGCCGGTTTCAGCCGGTTCAAACTGGCTTAGACCTGTTGAAACCTGTTTAGGCCGGTTCAAACCTGCTGAAACCGGTTTACTGGTTTAATTGGTTCAAACCAGTTGACAACGGTTCAAATGGGTTTTGGCATTTTGCATTTCGTTCTGACCATGTCAGACCTGTCTGGGACTTCTCGATCTTTTAAACTGCTAGCAATCTTCAGAAAATGGTCTCAATTCTAACATGGGTTTGAACCAGTTTAAACTGGCTCAAACCAGTTCAGAACGGCTCAAATCGATCCGTTCAGACAGGTTTAGACCAGTTCAGTACAGTTCAAACCAGTTCAGGCCGGTTTAGCTCAGTTCAATCTGGTTTAGACCATTTCAGACAAGTGTAGTGTAACAGTTGGTGCATAATTAATTTTTCTCTTCTTTTTCCCAATGTTCATTTTAAAACCATATACATTTTTAATTTAATTCCTAACTGCAAAGAATTCAGACAAAGTATAGTTAATTTATCTTCTAAAACCTGATGGAGATTTAAAAGCCCCTTATGGCTAAATGATTTGAAACAATCTCATTTTAATAGGTGCCGTAAAGTTCTCTTAGTATTTGTTCATTTTCTGACCCAATTAGTTTTGTCATTAAATGCATATACAAGTACTGATTTAAAAACCAAAATGCCAGCCAAGCAAAAAAATAATATGAATAACTGAATCTCTTAATTCAGGCATCTATTATAACTAACTGCATTTACTTTGCTACAAACCAGCAAAGTAAACACTAGAAAGAGATAGGCTGCCTTGTTGTCTCTGTTAATCATGTCAAAGTACTGCATCTAGAAATATTTGAAAAATCTGCCTATTTTCCATCTGTTATATTTCTCAGAGGATAATTGAAATTTCATGTGAAAGTTCATTATAAGTTCAAATATTCCACAGCAGGTCATTTACAGGGTAAAAGTTCACTGAGAGTTTATTATTATTTTTTAAAGACTGAAGTGGAAAAAGAATAAAGACACTAATTGAAGTTATTTTATATTCCATTATTATGACCACTGCGTTTTTAAGCATTATAAATAAAAATTATAAATTTTACAAGTTATGTGCATTGGGTAATGGCAATACTGATTATCAGGAAGATGATATTACCTAGGACTTTCATAGAAACTAGATAACTTTTGGTTGTTCTAGATATTATTTAAAATATAACAATTATATTTTATATTATATTGACTACTTTGTTTAAACTACATATTTAAGAACAGTAAAATAAAAACAGAAAAAGGAAGGAAACATAAGAAAACAGTAAATGAATTCATCTTACCATTTAGCTGAATAAAGGTAATTTTTAATTTGCAATAGCTAAAAATGTTATTTGAGATCCACCATTTGTCAACTGTTTACAGGAGAAGTATACCTTACATTTGGAACAAAATTCATAATACAACATTTAAAAGTGTAATCATACTAGTCACTGACCTGGAATTTCAGTAATAGTAACTTGAGAAAAGTCACAGTTTACATCAGGTAAGAGGAAATTCTGAGGGTCTCCGATTTCATACAATAGCTGTTCTGCCACTGTACCAAAGGAGACTAATCCTCCTGTGCCAGGGGGCTTGGAGAGGATGAACTGTCCATCAGGAAAACATTCCAGAACAGGAAACCCTATATTGTGCCTAGGTGAAAAATGGGGAAAAGCAGGGCTCAGAATAACCAGACAGAAAACCTGAGGAAAAGAGACTATGTTTTCAATGACTGCATCTGTCCCCAAGTTAACCGCACCTGCATACTCTATTTGTATGGCTTCTTAAATGACACCATGACATACTAATGTGTGTTAAGTACTGGATACAGATGATGTCTGGGTGCCCAAGGAGAATCCAAATAAGTCAGGGAGGAGACTCAGGAGCCGTGATGACTAAGGAGGGGGCATGTGGTCAGGGCCCGAGGGAACCTCAGTTTTCTGGTGCATGGTGGGGTCCTCTCCCACCTGTTGTTCTTGTCATCACCCCAAGGCAGTGGAACTTGAGTTTTGGCATTCAAAGAGCCTTCAACATATAAACTTGTGCTTCTGTTCACTAAGATAATAAGTTCATGAAAAGAAGATAAATAAAAAGGGAGTGAAGGGTAATTCAAAGTCACAGCCTATGACCCTAGTTTGATGCTGAAATGGTCACTGAGTAATAACAAAATTCAACGTGATCTGTTTGATTAATAAGGGAGGAAAGGATGTAACACTGTTAGAGGTGAAAATTTTAAAAGTCCAAGTAATAAGATCAGAGATAAAAAATATGAAAGTGAATACACTGTATTTTAATGTTTGAATCATGATGAAGATAAGGAAGACCTACAAAAATGAACCACCTTCTTAGCTGGAAAGACACTATAATAAATGTCAATTCTACCAAATTACTGTCTATTCAAAGGAATCCAATTCAAATTCCTTTCTTTGGCTAAAGTCATGTTAAAGTTCATGTAGGAGAATAAATGGCATAGCACATAAAAAAATAATGTATACAGGTAGGGGAAGGAGGAAGGACCTGGCTTATCAGATATTAGAACATGTTATATGTGCTAATAAGTGAACATTTGCATATACTGTATATCATCATCTGAAACTGATAATCACATCTGGGATTAAAGAAAGCACATCTGTCAGATGCTGACATGATCACAGACAGGGACGGGGCTGACAGGCAGGAGAGGGTCACTGGGAAGTGAGACATAAAACCCAAACTTAGGAAGCTGCATGAAAGAGAAGTAGAATAAAGTCACACTGATTCACTGTGGCTGGTATTTTGTGTGCGTGTGTACATAAAGGAACTAACCTTTTAACTGCTAGAGAGGAAAGAAAGACACATCCAAGCTGGATGGAAAGATGAGAATATGGCTGAGGAGCAGCTTGTCTTCTGGGTTAGGGCTGCTGACAGGCTTTCTCCCTGCAGGCTTCCTCTGACTGGTCAACACTCTCTACTCGTGACTTCCCATCTTAGAACCTATCTTCTTCCTCCACTACCTCTGAATTTAATGAGTAAAAATTAAAACTAGATTCCACCTTTCCCTTGTCCTTGCCTTGTCTGGTCTTTTGATTCTCTCCCTTCTGTTTTCCACACAGCGAGGCTGACCTACCCATTGCTATGAAAACACAGATAAACTCTCTCTGAAAGTCAAGGACATCTGTATGTCCTAGCTTCACCTTTCCAAGCTACATTCAGTTGCTTATTTATAACTGTCATCAATAATCAAATTCTACTTGTTCCTCTGTTACTACCATTATCATTCCTCTTGCTACCACTCTGCTCCTCCTGCAGCACTATCAGTACTAACATGTCACTGTTTACAGCAAATCACTGCTCAGTTTTCCTATGTATCAGACTGGACTCAGCCCTTACCAACACACGCTGTGTGCTGGCCCCTTTACCACAACCCTCTGGGAAGCAGTATGACCCTTGCTTTATATTCAAGGACCTCAATAAGACTCAGGACTATGGAATAGAATTGACATGCACAGCACAAAATCAAAGCACACAGCTAATCTCATATTAACGAATTTATCTCTTTCCAAACATTAGACAACAATGTGCAAAACAATGAAAGTAAACATTTTATTGACAGTTTGTATTTTTGGTACTCTTCTAACAGTTTTACATTTGGTACTTAATGCACTCTGCTTCCGCAATAACCCAGAAGCTACCATTCCCCTGCTTCTGCAGATGGGTTGAAGCACCTTAAGGGTGTATAACTTGTCCCATCTCACTGAGCCAGCAAGTGTTAGAACCAGTGTTAGTTCAAGGTGATGTTTCTAAAATTTATTCCCTTTCATTACAATTCTGGGCTAGACAATTCTGATAAATCTGTAGGAAGGTAAAGACCTACGCTCTTAAAACAAAGTTGTTCTATGCCACGGCATGCCTATGTGTGTGCAAGTGTGTGTGTATCTTCCTACCAGTCTGGCACCAAATGCCAATCCGTGAAGATCCCACCAGTACTCTGTGCACCACATTCAACAAGGTGGCCAGCAAGGCTGCAAAGTAAGCAGGAGCATGGCATGAATACAGTGAACAAATCCTCAGCACCTGTCCAAACATCAAATAATAATTACTAAATAAAGATTAACTTTTGGGGGAAGATCTTTCCATAAGCGCGGAAAGGAAACTCATGGCAGGGTGCCATGTTGGTTTTGTTTATTCTTTCTAATAAAGCACTTTAATGAGGTGGGAAAGGCAGCTTGGAATAACAGAGAAAAAAGAAAAGCACCAACCTAAGAAAAGCCCAGGAATCTAGGCCAGGTGATAGTCTGAGCAAAGTGGGTTAATACATTGCTGATACAATGTATTAATCGAGAAAAAGACTGGGAAAGCCCCATAAAGATGAAAAGTCCTTCAAAATCTAAGTTGTTATTCTACTTGAAGGGTGGCATTACATTGTCATTATAGGAGAGAACATTTATAAAATGTGATTGACCGAACCCTCCCTGGTGGAGCAACGGGTTGAAAGCACAGCACTAAGAAGCCTAAAGCCACTTCAGCGTGAGTTCGATCCCCACCCCAAAGGTGACCCACATGGCGTGGCAAACCTCTCCTGACCTGCCCGCTGCTCCCCTCAAAAGTGTATTTTGTCAGTCTGCCTGTTCTGCTCCCCACTCTGTCTCTGGTGAATCCTCTCACCACCCCTGCACCTCTGGCCTGTACCCCAGTTCTGTATGCATAAATAAATAAATAAATCTTTTTTAAAAATGTAATTGACCTACTTGATATGTCAGTGGACTAAAAACTCATTAGTAAATGTATCATCAAAGCTGACTCTCCAAAAATATAAATAGTCTAAAGCTCTTTAAAGAAATTAACTTTCATTAGCAGGGTGTAATAATACAATACTTTGGGTCTTAGTTACTTATCCTGTGTGAATACAGCTTTGTGACTTCAAGTAAGTTCTGTATCAATTTCCTCATCTCTCAGGTGGGGACAGCAGTGTCTGCCTACTAAGTGAACTGTGAGAATGAAAATTAATATTGCAAAACTGCCTGTCACAAAACAAGCACTCAATTGGTGATGATTATTTTGTTTCACAAAATTTCATGAATCTTTGTAAACACATATTCCTTTAGCTTTAAAACTGCAGTATAAAAAACACAATTATTGCAGTTTAAAATATTTTAGATGACCTACCCATCACGTGTATCTTAATTGCTAAAAAGCATAAATTGTACTACAATGTAATTAGAAGTGTTAAATTACTCCTAATATTATTATTAGACTTACCTTCCAGCTGCTAATAAATCAAAGTCATTGCTTTTCCAACCAAACTATGAGAGAGAAAAATTATTTTACTTATAATACATCATTTATATTTAGAATCTTTATAACGTATGTGTTTGAGATTGATCTAAAGTTCAATTCATGACCACTATATAGATTCAAATGCAAAAATTATAGAAAGAAACTAACAACACCTCACATAAAAACCTGAAGCAGGGCCCTCCCTGGTGGCGCAGGGGGTTAGGATGAGAACTGCAAGCTGGCTGCATCTGCTTCAGTGCTAGTTCGATCCCCAGTCCCAGAGGTGATCCTCATGGCACGGCAGACCTCACCGACCCGACTGCTGCTCCCCTCAGCAGTGTATTTTGTCAGTCTGCCTGTTCTGCTCCCCACTCTGTCTCTGGTGAAGTCTCTCATGGCCCCCGAACCTCTGGCTTGCACCCCAGTTCTGTATGAATAAATAAATAAATCTTTTTTGCTCTGGACAAGATGTAATATTTTGGAATAAATTTAGAAAAACATTGATTACCTAAGAGATGAGCCTATGACTGAGCTTTCCAATTACCACAGAGAAAAAGAAAGCTCCAGAGAGTCTCAAGAGTCCCTCTTGAGTACTTAGCCAAGAAGTGACAGCTCACAGGTATGAAGAAGCCCCCCCGCCCCGGTCTGGAAACAGTGCACAATCACACAGGAAAATTCATCATTCATCAAGAAATGGATCACACATTCAAAATAACCTTGCCTCAATAATGGGAAATAATCAGTCCAGGATCAACACAGCTCTGATTTAACAAATCTTTAGCAAAAGCCAAAAAGAATCAACTTTAATGTAACTTATCACCTTCCCAGGTGAAGTTGAAAAATATCTGTAGGAATATGGACATAATTAGCAAGCAACAAATCACAGTGTCTGCACAGCTCTGAGTAGCAGTCTGAGGGGAGCTGGCCCAGGAACAGCCGCCCACCGGGCATGCAGAGGCTGCACCACCTTTAAAAAGGCTGATTTGACTCAGAATATGTTACAACAAAGAACCTCAAGCTTTTAATTAAGGAACTAGACAGAGGTCCACAAAGAGTTGGGAATCTGTCAGGAAAAGGTTAGTCCCCCGACATCCAAAAAAACGAACATACTCAAAGGAGTTCTTAAGCACGCAAAAGAACTCTCAAACTGGAAACTTTCCTAACAATCTCAAGATAATAAAGGATTCTAAGGTATTACATATAAAGCCTGGAAGTAATGAATAAAAAAGTACAGAAATGATTTTACCAAGCACACATATGAGTCAGCTCAGAAATCCATTTCACGTGACCATCTTTGAAGAATTTGGTTAATGGCAACAAGAAATGTACTACCTTTTCTTAACGGAACATCATCATCTTACAAAAGCAAATTTGAAACTCAGTGAGAGGCTTGTGGTACATGTGACATGTTAGCCACATTAGGAGAGAAATTGCTTGACTTGTTTTCAATATTGTAAAGTTAACAATCTGGCACAACACCACATTTTGTAAGGGCCAAATTGTAAGCTGAAGAAGACGACAGGTTCGAGGTGATTGAGATGTCCTCTCCACAAACTTACAGCATGAGTGAGGGGCCCCAGCACCAGCGCACTGTCCACGCAGCGACCTGTCAGAACCACGTCCGCACCGAGGTCCAGGGCGCGGCTGATTGGTCTTGCCCTTTGAGAAACAAAACATGGTTCTTGGTTTTAATGGAGCTGAGTTTAAAACAAACAAAATGGCTAGTGTGTATCTTGCTTAATGACTCATGTATACTCCCAGACACAAAATGACACCGGTAAAAAGTAGAAATGGAACTGATAAAAATGGAAAATATCCTCACTATTTCCATTTCACATTTTTTGAAAATCAGCATTTCCTGTGGAAATGTTGGATCAAGTATCCTTTCATTCTTACCCTCACTCTATGCTGCTGGTCAATCTGGACACAGAATTCCAGAGTGACTGTCTTTCTCCACAGGTAATAACGTCTCGCAACGTCTTGGTATCTGATGTGACTCTAGTGGCGTGTCAGCCCAGCTGTGGACCTCCGCCTTCTCCTGCCCCAGATGCGTCACTGCCCTCGTTTCACAGTGTACTGTGATCTGCCTGCCAGGCCTTTTGCCCACTTACTCTACTTGAAATTAGCCTCCTTGAGTTGTACATCTGTTCACCAACCCTGAAAAGCACCCAGCCCTTGTCTCTGGACATTGCTTTCCCATTTCATATACTCTCTTCGCCTAGAGCTCTCACTCAGTAGCAGGTTAAACCTTGTAACGCTGCCTACAAATTTGTAGCTTCGCTTTCCTTGAAGGAGAGAGAATTTCCCCTAGACTTTGCAAAAGTTGTGCTTAAGCAAATAAATAGGACGTTTGCACCAGGCTGAATTAAACAGAAAGGTGTTGTGGAGCACACAAATTTCCTGCAAAGCAAGCCTTTGTTGGGCCAAACGACTTCAGCTTCGTAGTCTAAGCCACTGGTTTGGTCCGGAACTGCTTGCTGCAGCTTCTTCAGGCCGGCCTTGAGATGAACACCAGGCATCGGAGAAAAACTGAAACTCCAGCCAGCAGCCTCAAGCACAGGAAAAGGCAGCGTTGAGGCACGTCTCTCTCCTATTTGCACTGTCACTTCTTCCCAACAGAACACATGTGTTCTCACCTGCGGAATTTAAGCATGCAGCACACACCTGTACCTGGTGGTGAAGTGCCGAGTTATGATGTGACATCTGTGCAGTCCCGTCCTCCTGACCTCTTACAACCTCAAGGCTGACCTCTTGAACATCAAGGGTCAAAGTCAAATTCATCTTTGTGCTACTGCTTTTGCTAGCCCGTGGGTATACCACTGGAGCAGCGACAGCTGGCAGAGCGACAACCCTTGACCGAATTTCTGCTTCCTTCACTCTGATAGAGGAAAGAACAGAAAACCTAAAGATGACTCAGGTTTTCCCTTCTTTCTTCCATCAACTCCACCTCGTGTGATCACAGAGGTAAAAACCATGGTGGTTCTGGAAGAAGTCCTAAGAGTTTCTGCAGCAACCTGAGCAGCCTGAATGAAGAAGGTTTTCCAAATGGTCAACACGTTGAAGCCACCAGTGTCCATCTACTGAGGGAGAGGAGAGAGGGAGCCGAGACACGAGGGAGGGGAGGAGGAGCAGGGAAAGGCCAGAAGGGGGAAAGGGGAAGAATAACGAATGTAAAAGACTTTACCCAAGGTACACATTCATGCTTTTAATGGTATCTGGAAATTTCTTCCCACTCTCCATATCTGTGACAGCTGATCTTTGCAGAGTCTCCTTCTATAAATATTTCGCAAAAAAAAAAAAATATTTTAAACATTTATTCAAAGTGAGATTGCTTATAATTATATATATATATATATATGCAATAAAAACATGCACTGTATAAGTGGAATTTCATTATTTCAATCTAGGCAACTGGCATGGTGGATTTTATAAGGCAACATAGATCAGAAAGGGATTTCTAGAGGTCAATTCTCAGAGTTAACCAAAGTCCAAAACACCAAAAATAACATGAAGATAAAAATTAATTAGACCAAATGAGAAGATCACAGCTGTTTACCCCAAGATAGCACAGCTTCCTGCCTAGGAGCAATGCCACCCATGTCACTCACCTCTGCCATGATGTCATCCCCCGTAACCACGGCTATTTTCAAGTCCACGCCAGCCTTCTTGGCTACCTGGCCCAGGGCAGCGGCACACTGGAGGGGATTGATGCCCCCGGCATTAGCGACCACACGCACGCCTGCCGCAAACAAGCACCAGACCATCAGCCTACTTGAGTCCCATCACTAGTTAACACTCGATGAACCACTTTCTCTCCCTATTGTTGCTTTCTTCTTCTAGAGGCAAATGCCACGGGCAGTGGCATCTCTGTACAGCATTCAAGTGGTGGCAGCCACAGCTGGGGCCACACGCTCATGACACATGGCCAAGAGGGGGTGAGGGAAATAGCAGGCCCTGATCAAAATGTCTGTAGACTACTACAAAATGGGCTCGTTTTCAATCGTCAAGTTTCCTGGATTTTCTAAATAATCTCCTAGAAAGGACAATCAGTTACATCTCAGAAACTCTCCCCTTCAATTCCATCTTTGACAGTGATTTGCTGAGACAGCTCAGTGGGACACTACAGAGTGGCTGAAATTAGAGATTCGAAGCCCAGAATTCTGGGACAGGAGACTGGCAATCGCCTCATCCAGGAGTCCTTATCAGCTGAAGAGTCCTCATCCTTTGGGAAATATGATCAAAGTTATGGTCCTTTCCCTATGGGCAAAGATGTGTTTTGCTTATGATGTCAGGTATCTCAGATTCCCTGATGCCCCCTTGGACACTAGACTGAGAACCAGGACTCAATTCAACTGCCTCACAGTGCTGAGAGGTTAGGGGACTCATCCAGGGTCATGTGGCTCGTTGGTGACAGAGACTGTCATCTGTGGGGGCAGACTCCCGAGAGACCTGTGTGTGCTCACTAGCCAAGGCTGTCAGAAAACATCTGCACAAGCTTTGAATGTGCTGTGAAACCACTCCTATTAGCTGGCCAGAGAATGATCATTAAGTGCACATAATTAAAATTTGTACCCACTAGTCTTTATAATCAAATAGGCAGGGTTTTTATTTTTTCTGTACATAAGTCTTCCCCAATAGAGGTTTTAACTGTTACTTATACTGTAAGAAGCTCCCTCTCCTGAACCTACTTCTCTTTCCACCTTCTCCGCTAAGAAGCACTGGTGTCTTGGGCTTTGTTTTTACTGTAATGTCTACCTGAGTTTGGCACACAGAGAAAGCAGGATTCACCCTGAAGATTAAATGACTTTTTATGATCCTAAAATGAAAGAATGACATATAATACACACATAAGAAACAGCCCACCAATATCAGGTTCTTAAATTTTGCTGAGTCTGACTTCCTGCTGGCGCTGGGTTAACTTTTCAAAAGGGGCTATGGCTCCCCCTAGAGGATCATGATGGTAAAAAAAAAACAGCCCCTCCTAACCATTCTAAAATGCATCTGCAATAAAACTGCAGACTCCATTGTGCCAGTTCCATTGTAACATCTGAAGGGTGGGGGGTCGGGGTGGAACCCTACACTTCCAAAATTCAAAGGATGTAAACTAACATTACATCAATAAAAAAAAAATGAAAGCAACTAAAGAATATACACTAACTACAAGCAGACTCCTAAGTACAGATCTTAAACATATCCTAAGGGATTTAGCATTCTTTTTAATTGCATGCAGTAATTATTTTATCTTCAATTTTTTTTTTTATTGTGGTAACAATGGTTTACAACTCATCTGCATATGACTGAGGGGTATAGTGGTGTCTCAGCACAGCCCACCAAAGCCACACCATCCTCCACCTGGTCTCTGGGTATCCTCCCCACCTTGCTCTCCCACACCTGCTCCTCCCCAGGTAGCCCCAGATTCGCAGTCAGATTTGTAGGGTTTGCGGTTAGTCTGGTTTTATCTAACCCTTTGTTTCCCTGTATTCCCCAGAGGAGTGAAATCATCCCATATTTGTCTTTCTCCTTCTGAAGTATCTCACAGGATTTAGCTTTCTTAAGCAGAGAGACAATTTCCATACTTAAATAGCAGCTATTCAGTATGCCACTTGAAGTGACCTCAGGCCCCAGCTGCAAAAGATTTTCATTAGCTCAATAAGCCACAGCCAAGTCTGGGGTTAGGTTCAAATAGATTGGCAGCTATGAGGGGTCTTGTGGCCACAAGTTTCACCCTGGCCCCCAGAAGCCATCTTTGTGAGATCTTGTGAGATCTTCTCTGAGCCACTGAAGGTCCAGAGTGTGCAGAGGAACCAACCAATAAAAATCAAACAGACAGGAAGGCAACCCAAACCCGCTGCAGGCTGCTTTATGGAACATAAATAATATTTTTTTAAGATTTATTTATTTATGCATACAGAACTGGGGTACAGTCCAGAGGTACAGGGGCGGTGAGAGGCTTCACCAGAGACAGAGTGGGGAGCAGAACAGGCAGATCTACGAAGTACACTGCTGAGGGGAGCAGCGGGCGGGTCAGGAAAGGTCTGCCACGCCAGGAACATAAATAATATTTTAAATATTCTTTCATCTCTCGGCCACTGCCTTCTTCCTCGGAACCATATCAAGGTGGCTAATAAAGCTTTTGAATTGCTTCAGGGTTATTTGGTTACTTACTTTCAGGGATTAGTCAAACAAAGTTTATATATATATGTATTTCCATATCGATATCTATCCTTCTGTGTGTCTCTCTATAATACATATATCTAACCTTCTCATTCTTAAAATGTAACATGGTTTATTGACTTACCTTTTTGATGAATGTCCTTTATATATGGAGCCATAGCTGTGTGGACAAAATCAGGAATATAGCCCAAGTTCTAAAATATAAAAATAAATGTGCTATCCTCTATAAAATGCATTTGGTCAACTCAAAGCCAATAGTGCAGACGAAACATTCTTTTGAATGCTTGCCAGTTTATATTAAATATTAAGTCACTATCAAACTGATATCTGATAAGAACATATTAATTTGAAAACACAACCAGTCAATGGGAAGGAGTAGCATTATGTTCAAAATAAACTGAACTTTCCCTATCAGCAACATGATAAAATAAGGATGAACCCCAAACACGGGAGTCATTTCTTTTTTGTGGTCTTCAACAGTTTGATCAAAACCTGAAATCCCCGGTGCTATAGACACCTCGAAAATTCATCACTAAGTCCTTGCTGGCACGCAGCCAGTGATCACATTTCCTAGAGTGATTGCAGAAGAGATGCCGAAAACCAAAATGGCGGCTTACAGTCAATGCTACCATAGGTGGTGTAGTTATTCTGAAGTAGCTCATTTGTGGGCAAGTTGTACTTCAAAGCACACAAACTAGAAAATTAGTTATGTTACAATGGCTCATTTTTTAATTCTACTAAGAAAAAGAAGTGAGTGACAAAGGGAAACTAAATCACATAACGTTGATGACAGAACTATTTTATTTCCACATATTCTCCAACAAGCTAAGGGATTTGCATGGTTTTCTTATCTAAATGAAATCTCTGCCAGATACCCCACACCGCAGGTCAATTTCCAGCCTTTAAATATTAAACTGAGAAAATTTAATCCACTGAAACTAACAAATATTTCAAAGTTAGGATTAAGGCTTTTACTACATATTATAATGGTGGCATAAACAATTTTCCCATGGTAATAACAAGGTTAAAACATACATATATAATTTTGGGGGCTGTAGCTCTGATTTTGTTGTCTGTATCTCTTATCATGTCTTTAACCACTTCATCATTGTTGAATGTTTAGCACTTCAGTTCTATGCATATGTTAGCTGTATATTTCTTTAAATAAGGCTGACTAAGAATAAGGGCAAATAATCAAACAACTTACACTTTTCCTAGTAATAACAAGACTTAACATTTCAAAATTTTACAACAAGTCACTTACATAAACATTGTCACATACAATAAGCCTTTCAGGGATATCACGATTATTAAAATAACCACAATAACTAACTTACAGGAGATTTTTCTTTTGCAGCAGCTAGAAGGCACATAGTTATCTCTGAGAGATAATCAAAAACCAAATAATCCAGCGTCTCTCCATAGAGGAGCTGAGGAACTAGAATTAGAACAAACACACAGTACTTATAAAAATGAGTTTAACAATAATTTAATCAAAACAAAAATTATCAGTATTATCTTATTTCCTTGATATTCAAGTACAGATATACTTATGCATTTAGGGGTGTGCCCTCAGAACCCTTTTTTTTCATTATACTTTACATTCAAGTATTGCCATATTGGGGTGGCAACCCACATTCTTAGTCATGTTGACTAAAAGAAAAGGGGAATGTTGCAAGACAAGAAAAAAGACCAGAAAAGGTTCCCTTATTCCCAGGACTGCCCAAAACTTATTTCCCTCAAAGGCAAGGATCACCTTGTGAAAACCTGATATATTTCCAACTCATCACCTACAAAGTGTGTGTGAGCCCAAATACATCATTAATTCAGGCAAAAATCAACTCACTGTTTTTGATACAATGCAAGAGGCATTTTACTCTCACTGGGCCTTAACTGTCTTCCTTTCACGCTAAAAGAGTTGTCAAGTGCTGCCCTTATTAAAAGCCTCATTCAAAGGCAATTCCCAAAGTGCAAGACAAGAAACAGGAAGTCTAAAGAAAAGTACAATCATAAGATTTTTTCGTCCTGAAAAGTGGAATGTCTGAAGTGGGAGTTTTATGCAGTGGTCCCCGTAATTTGCAATGTGCCTGATATAGCTTTAGCAAAAGCTGGCTCAATCAATGGTTGCATGAAGCTACGAATGTATTTTGAAACAGCTCTTCTTTTGGGAGGTTTCTTCACTTCACAGCTCTCACTTTTTAAAAAAAAAATTATTTATTTATCATACAGAACTGGGGTACAGGCTACAGGGGGTGGTAAGAAAATTCACAAGAGACAGAGTGGGGAGGAGAACAGGCAGACTGGTGAAGTACACTGCTGAGGGGAGCAGTGTGGCAGACAGAAGAGGTCTGTGGCACCATGGCCCAAGGGTCACCCCCTTGGGCTGGGATTGAATTTCTGCAAAAGCTAAGGCTGGATTCATGGTGCTGCACTTTAATCTGTTGTGGCACAAGAGGGGACCCAGCTCTCATGTTTCATAAGCCCTTTATCCTGCTTTACCCAAGTATTACATAAACCCTCAATTTCGTATTCCCACAGAAACCCTTACTCTGATACGTGGAAATGGCTAAAAACCTATCTAAAGATTTCTGTAAAGAGTCCTCACAGGTGGAACCACTTTCTACTAGGTCAGCGATCTTGGTAAACCAGTCTTAGGAAATACACAACTAAGTGCCAGGTTCAAGCATTTTTTAATTACTGACATAGTTGTTTAGACTTTCCCCCTGTGCAATGCAACCAGCCTGTAAGACATATGAATGACTTAAGATCCAGGAAAGAGTCAACTCAAACATGATGTGGACACATAGGGAAACCCACTAAAACATGAGAAATTATTGAAAGATGATGTCCTGTCGTTGACTCGGTTATTTCTCCGGACACTTGAGCTCAGAAAAGTCAACAGCAGCAAGTTCTTGGAGAGGGGATGTAAGCCTGGGGCTTGTCTTCCTCGCTCCAGCCGAGCCTTTTCCACACTGCATGCAACAAAATCTTTTCTGTGATTAGCTCTCTTAGAGAAGGGAGAAAAACCGCACTTTAGGGTTTCATGTCAAGATGTTTAGCAAAAATGTGCAATTCAATAAAAAGTGAATGCCACCGGGGTTCTTTTTTTTCTTGTGGAGGATGTGTAAAGGGAGAAAAGGAAGATAAGAGCAAACAATGCCACAAAAGTCAGACAAAGCCTGCCGTGGCCGCCAGATCACTCAAATGACCCGGCAGGCTCAGGCACAATGTAAAAGCCAAGACTGAGGAGTAAAGTGCACTGCAATGTCGGTGTGCCCGGGACCCCAGCCCCATGATTCAGCAGCCAAACCCGCCTGTAAAAGGAAGTTAATGCTTCCGCATGATCAATGTATGCTCCTTGTGTGTCCTGCCCAAATATGGTTGTTGTACCGTGAGCAGTGCTCTGATTGGCCAATGTACACGTGAGCAGTGCTCTGATTGGTCAATGAATGCTATTTAAGCAACTGCCATACGTGGACTCTGGGGGAGGCAAGCTAGAGCAAGCCAAGGAAGCAAGGTGGGGGGGGGAGGCAGCAGGGAGGAGGAAAGCTAGAGAGAGAGAGAGAGAGAGGCAAGCAATCAGGGGGAGAGAGAGAAGCAGGCAGGAGGTGGGAGAGAGAGAGAGAAGAATAAAGGGTCCAGAAGAAGATATATCATGGCGTCTCTCTGTTGGCAGAGAGTGCGCCACACTGCAAAGCAGTTCCATGCACACTTAAATGTTACTTGTCAGATGCTTAAACTCTCTCTGCCAGCGTTGCCACAGTCCAGAAGCAAAAGGAGCACCTCATGAAACATGCTTTTGTGAGAAAAGGTCTCTAAACAACCGTAACAGGATAAAAATTTCAGAAAGGAGGCAGGTGCTGTAGTCCAACTATAGAGAAGACGGGTTAGTCTCCAGGAACGGTGGAGACAGGAGTTTGGGTCTGAGTGTGAAAAAAGAGTGTGTCTGTATAGAGCAATGGAAAAGAGTGGGGAGAAGAGTTGGGGTGGAGGCCTAGAATTTTGCATTAAACATGCTACTTCTGAGGTGCCTTTTCCTCAAGGTATCAAGAAGGCTTTCACAGGATCTGTGAATATGGAGTTTAGAAGATGCCAAGCTCTGCTCAGGCATAGACGACATGGAGTCTTTCTGGTGAGTCTTACTTTCATGGAGTCTTACTTCTGATGAGAAGTACCACAGATGGGGGCGCCTGCCTGAACATTGAGTCATTCAGAAAAGAGGGCTGGGTCACCCCAAGCTTTAGCACTGGAGCTAAAGAGCCTGTCCAAGAGACCAAGGGTAGGCAGGGAGACAGGAGGAAAACAGGAGAAAACACTTGAAGGTGACAGCGATCCATGTGGTCCAATACTACAGATCAAGGAAGATGAGGGTCAAGATGGACCCTAACTTTGACAGTCTTGAGTCAAGGGTGGAGGTTATTATTTCCAGCTTCACTGAACAAGGTTCTGAGAGAGATTAAATAAGCTGAACAATCAAGATTAGAGCCAACTAGCAGCAAAAGGGCCCAAAACCGACATCCAACACAGGCCTCCGAAATTAGCATGTTTCTGGGATCCCAGACCAGGCTCTTCAAAGGCATCATAGGGCATCACTCTTCCCTTTGGTAATGCCCCTCCCTAGGGAGGATTCTGAAAACCACATCAGGACTATAGATTAAAAAGAATAAGCAGAATCTACCCGTGAGGCGCAAGGGCAATGGTTTGGGCCTCAGGACTCACCAGGGAGACCAGTCAAATGAAGTCAGCCCTGCAGCGAGGGAAAACCGGTTTCAGGACAAACTTCAGTAGGAGAAAAAGTTTACTCTCTCAGAATGAATTCTCTGTCCATGGTATTTTGCTAGAGCTTTCCAAGTCGATAAATAAAAAGCGCAGGGGTTCTGATCACCTGTTAGAGCCGCTGTGCATAGTCAAGAGCTTGACTAGCGTGGACTGGATTCCCATCCTTCTTTATCACGGTGCCCGGAAAGGAGGGAGGCATGCGTCTGTACTTTAGATTTCAGTAAGTTAAACAGATGTTCAGAAGGCCAAAGGCACAAGAAAGCCCTAGACCACTCGCCCATAGGAGCCCGTTTGAACAGCCCCTACTCCGCCTCTCAAAGCCACAGCCACCACCCGGGGCCTACGACTGACTGAATGTGCAGACCAGGAGATGAAGTTTCCAGGAGAAGCCAGAGCGGAATGTGTGAAAAGGTGCAGAAGACGCGGGGTTAACAGGAGCTACTCCCGGAGAAGACAGCGCCTTCTCAGGGCCAGGAAGGGAGCAAGCAGGCACCCGGCGCGAGGCTGCGCAAGGACTGCTGGCAGCCGACCAACTTTCTCTTTGCAGAAGGGGAAAGGTCAGCGCAACGTCTGGGGGACCCCAGCGCCGCTGGGGGTGCTTGAACTGGCCCGGCGCCACGCACCTCCCTTCTCGCCTCCTCCGGAGACGCGGGACGGACGCGAGCGCGGGGCGGACAGACTCGCGGGGC